ATGTCAATTGGTATACCATCTATTCCTGGAGCCTTATTTTTTGCCATTTCCTTCAAAGCAGCCTGAACTTCTTCTTTCATCACCATAGGCTCTTGCTCATGAAAATCTCAATCAAGGGACAATGAAGAAAGAATCTACTTTCCAAAAGGGTTTGCATAGTTACTATGCCTGAATCTCTATTTGGTTCTAGGGTTTCAAACTCAGCTAAAAAGAAAAGTAAGGTACTTAGTCCTTGTTGGTAGAAGGTGGAATCCTGCTCATTGGTTCCCTGGGAGAATTCAGTTTCGCCAAGCACTGAACTCCTAAATCAATTTGCCATGTTAGTGTCTAGAGAAGGATACTTACCATCTAAACACACAATGCCTCAAAGAGGGGCACACTTCACGTGAGCATTTTTTGAATGGCACCCACTGTTAGTCCTCGGCTTTTACCAAGGCTATTCAACACCCGTGACTCATAGTGATCCAACACACTGCAAGGTAAGGAAAAGGAAGGGATGGAGAGTCCCCAGAGCCCGCAGGTTCTCATCAAGCAAGTGGTGGGCCCAACAATGGAAAGCTGTGAAATGTATTCTGCAGAAGCTCTCAGAGTGAGGAAGTAAGGCGAAGTCCACCAGTAGAACTCTACAATGTTCTACTCTGTGGTGGGGGTAGAATGGAAGGAATAAGATCTAGAACACCCTATGCCACTCTATCTCTCATGTCTAAAAATTGATATGGAGGAACTCCCAACTAAAATTAAGTAGTAATAATAAACAATAATGTGCTGTTCACTACAATACGTGCTACACATGCACAATTTTATTTAATTCTTATAAATGTTTGATGTAGGCACTGTTATTATCTTTCTTCTGTGGCTATTGTTGTTAACTACTGGGAGTCAGTCTATGACTCAGAGTAACTCTACACATAACGGAGCAAAACACTGCCCAGTTTTTTTTCAATAGCCACCATCAACTAGGGATCAGATGGTTGTGTACCACAAAGCTTTATTGGCTAATTTTTGGATGTCAAGCACCAGGACTTTCCTCTTGGCCCCGTTTAGTCTAAAAGCCCTGCTAAAACCTATTTAGTATCATCACAACTTGAAAGCTACCACTGACAGCAGAGATAGCAGCACATGATGTGCATGGCCTGGAGCTGAACTCAGCTTCCTCCATCAAAGGCAAGGACTGAACCACTAAGCTCTCATTGACTCATCCCATTTTGAAGAGGAGAATACAGGAGCTTGGAGAGGTAGAGGAGGCAGCATGAGATGACTCAGATAACGTACATGGATTTCAACACAGCTGAATTCTCAGAAACCTAGATTTTGCATGTAAGTAGCAGAGCTGCAAATGACACGGACAGGATGCCAACCAAGTATCCATTTGGAACCTTGCTAAGCAAACATGACAGAAAAAGAGCTTTCAATCTGACCTTCCACTTTCCCGTACTCTTGGATTTGAAGCCCTTTCATATTTCCCTCATAAAGCCAATTAAATCTGTTGATCCATGTCAGCTCACTGTCAGATAAACAGAACTTTGAACTGGTTTAAAACAGTTGTTGTATAGCAACGGAATCTCTTGATTGTCAAGTTTTGACCAGAGAAAGATACTGATGCCTGACTCAAAACTGGCAGAAGACCACACAACTTTGAACATGAGTTGGCTGCCATCTCTGAACCACGCATCACTGTGAGCTTCCTGCCCAAGCCAAATTCCAACACCAAGAGATTTCGTTACTCTGCAATTTGCCTGCTTCTCTTATTTCTGTCAGCCATGAATGAACCATTTTGAAATGGTTTCATGTCCTGCAGACAGATTGAATAAGATGCTCTGTGGGGTATACTTGCTGGAGGCAGGCTGAAGGCTTTAGTATGTTTGAGGCTAAGATCTCACATAGGACTACAGTTTTCAGGAAGGGATTAAAAATGACTTTACATCATGTTCTCATTAATCTGTGTACATCTAAATGAAATGCTTTTTTGATGGGGTGATAGGAAACTAATTTCAGCACATTCTGCTTTAGATTCCTATTTTTAAGCAAGCAGAACCAGTCACCAGACTTAAAATCCACTTACCAAACACCAGAAAGTCTTCCCTTCTGCACTCAGAGAGTGATTTTATATTAAACACAGATGGTCATGCTCCTGAGGAAACTAAATTAATACATTTATAATCTAGATGATAATATATAATTTTTGTTCATTTTTAGAAAATTGGAAAGATTTCCCGATAAGAGAAAAACTATTCTTTAACAAAATACTGTAATGATTATATCTTGAAACAGAATTATTCTCATAGACTCTATTTCAGGCTTTCTAGCATTAGTCTCCCATTGGGTAGACTGGAAAGTCAACTATATCACAATAAGTTAGCTTCTTAAGGACTCTAACTGGCACCAGTAGAGGCTTTTGATTGGCAGGTGTTGGGAAAGATGGAAAGCCATTTACCAATGGCATCTGACCTCATCTGGAACACCTTTTCAGCAGCCATGGGCCCAGAACTTTCCTTGATAATGTAGGCTGAGACCTGAGCCCATCTCTGGTTCCAGGTTCTTTTTGTATACCAGGGAAACACCATTCCTATTCTAGGTACACTTTCCTTTTTCTGCATAAGCATGTGTGCCACATGGTGCCTCACTGCTATCTCATATCAACAAGAAGGGAATTAAAAATGGCGGTAGTCCATCAGCCCTGTATTTGCTCTGAGAGAGGCACCCCGGGCTATGAGGAACCAAGACCTGTGCTTTCAGATGACCTATCTCTGTCTCTCTTCTCTACAGAAGTAAAGCATTGTTCCAGTCAATGGTTGCATGTGTTTTTCTTAGTGACTTTGGATCTTAACTTGAGAATTTGATACAGACAGTGCAGTTTCTATCTGCCACCACCATCTCCAATAATTCTGGGCTCTTTATTCAAGGTCAGGCAAATAAAAACTTTTAAAAATATCTTTATGGAGATAGTATATCCTGTGTGTTATTATTTCTCAACAGTAATGAAGAGATTATGGCATAAGATTCATTCTCTGGCTAATTGCAGGAAATATACATATCATCTAATTCTGCCTTCCCATTTTATAGATGAGAATAGACAGCTTAGAGAGGCCACATGTCCTACCTAAAAACACCCAGATGGTAAATCAGAGTTCAGAAGCTAACCCTCAGCTAATGGTGTCCCTCCCACATCCTCTTCTGGGATATTATTAGCTGTCTTTTGGAGTTGCTTTCTAAGAGCACCAGTTAGGATTACCTTTATTTTTTGCAACAATCTTGAGGGCGTGGCATTATTATCCAGTTTCAGATGGGGTAACTGTCCGAGGTCACATAGCTAGAGACGGTGGAGTAAGGATTGTACCCACATCATCTTGCCCATTTCTTCACCATTATTCTACACAGTCTTCTTGGGACACCATTTAGCCTGACAAAGATGCCCAATTCAGGAAACGTAGTGAGAAGGGATATATGACCTTCAATTGGTGAGTGGTGAGGTAACTCTTCCCCATTTGAGCTTTTTCTCAGTCTCAGCTGAGTATTCCCCCACTGTTCTTTGCTCAGGTCCAGCCTGGAGCTCATGGTGATTGTTAGCTAGCCTCTGCAAATTAAGTTTTCATTTCTCAAGGGAACTTTGCCTCTGCGAACTCCTCAAGGTGACCTTTAATGGTATGATTTGAAACACTTTGTACTTGATGGTTATTAAAAAATTAAAAACACTCAAAATCAATGACAGTCAGAACTCGCTCACAGCTGACTCTCCAGCAGGTTTTCAGGAGGCTGTAAATAAAAAGAGAAGAGAGTGGCCATCTTTCTCCCGTGGCACCACTGATGGATTCGAACTGCCAAAGAAGTGTTACCTTTGGGTTAGCAAAGACTAGACCACCAGGGCTCCCGACTGGTTATTTCAGTACTCTTAAAATTCATGGCCAGCAGGGTGGTCTTGACTCAAGCATCATGATATAGTGACCGAGCTATATGTCTGAATAGGACATCTGCCACATTTCAGAAATACCTATTTGTGCTTATTTTGGGCTACAGCTGATGTTTATTTTGGTAGAGTTGCTAATGCACATGTTTCTTATTCCTTTTACTATCCATTCCTGGCCCTCCCCCAGCCTCTTCCTTCCTAAACCTTTGTTTTTCAGGTATTTGTTTTGCTTTCTTCTGTTCAGTTCCACTGTGTGAGAAGCGTACTTTGACTCTGCAATCAGCAGCATGTCAGGAGAGCAAGAAGACAATCAAGGAGCCCGACTTTCAGAGCTGTAAAACAGCGGGAAATGCTTTCCACTTGTTGGAAATGGTTTTTAAGGGTATTAACTTCATACTTTGGGGTTAGAATTTATTGAAACAATATACAAATTTGTCTTGAACAATCACAGAAAGCGAATCCCCCCTATATTGTCTCATAACTACTATGCCCAAGAAACATAACTCTGACCTGGAATAGAATCAGTGTTTTTGAACCGAGAATAAGGTTATCCTTGCTGACTGCCCCAATATCCAACAATAAGGGTCATAGAACTGCTTGGATAGTAATCTTCGCTCCTCTGTGACTTGGGTAAGTTATTCAACCCCTTAGCAGATTGTTTTCCTCGCCTCTAACTGTGGAAAATCCTAGTACTTATGTGGTGGGGTTGCTGGCAGAATAAAATGCCATCGAGGTGAGGGAAGTGTTCTGAGATGAGCCCCAAAGGTGGTAAGCCCTTACTACATGTTACTGTTGGTGTGTGGATATCTCCATTAACAGTATCATAGCATCAACCGGCAAGCAAAGAATAACTCTTCAGTTTGGTAGGCAATTTGAGATTTTAACTCTTTATGTGTATACACAGAACCCAGAATTTTTGTGGACCCAGAGTTTTTCCTGGCCCATGTAAAGCTGAGTGGCCCCCCCACAGATGGCCCACCCACAGACCAGCACACATGCCCTGTGGTTCCCGTACAACAGCCTCAAGTTCACCCATTCTGAGTCTGAAGTAGCCCCAAATGATACCTTGCCTTCGCCGGCTGTTGAGTTTTCTAAAGCAGGTTCCTTCCACGAGGCGGTTCAGGCGTTGTTGTTTGATGAGCTCTAAGATTTCTGGCTGAATCTTCTCCTTTAGTTCCCTGTTAAAAGGAGAAGCACATATTCTACAGCATGCCTTAAGAAATTATACTCGGTTGAATGGACTTCAAGGGCAGATGGGGTAAGGGAGTGCATACATTATCTTTTCATGACCAGCCCAATACCCTCTATATTGGTGCTTTGGAGAATCATTTACTTATTGTTCAGGGTTATCTGACATGGAAGATTCACTGACATTTACAGAACATTCAGAAAAGAACCAGTCACATCAGTGACATCTTTCCAGACCATGGCACCAGGAAAAATATCTATTTTGCAAAACCACAGGCATCAATTTATGCAAGAACTCATTCCTCTCAGCCAATATATTAAATCTTTGGCCACGTTTCCCCTACTCTCCACATAATATTGTTTTACTGCATCAGGTAAACTCCTAGACAATAGCATGATTAACCACACTGAAATATTGGGCCACAAAGAACTTCCTAGTCCACAGCAAATATGAGCATGAGCAAACCACAAGACAATATTTTGCCTCTGATTTCATCACTCACAAGAGAGAAAAATAACATTGTCTTAGATTCTAAGCAACAGAGGCTGGGATAATGATGGGATAAGTGAAAGATTATTTGCATTTTATTTCATGCTAATATAATTTAGTTTCAGAGGCACTAGGCAGCAAAGATATAATGTAATGGTTTTCAAATATTTTTCCCCCCTGGAGGACAGATATTTGTCATATGAACTTCTACATGGCATCCTAGCAATGCAAACAAGTTGTTCTAATAGAAGCAGGACAGAAAGACCCAGCCCCCACACCTCAGATTAGAGCGGAAGGTGATGACCAAAATACACAGCTAAAAGTCAAAAGGCTTGAGTTTCATTCTAGGTTCTGCCAGTGACTCACATATCATGGAGCTAATCTAAGTCTTAGCTCTCTCATCTGTGAAATGGATTGAAGAATCTCTGTTTGAGCAACTGTTGTAATTCTCAAGAGATGGTGTGAGGACAGGTGCTATAGGATAGGAGTGACCACATTTGCACTGATAATGCTGTCATTTCTTCACAGTGAACACTCTATATGCCCAAAGTATACTTCAGTCAAGGTATTCTGGTTCATCAACTTCAATCTAATCTCTGGACTTGATCAGACACCAGACGGGGGACACCTGCTCTCACACAGGGTTCCATTTCCAGAGGAGAGAGGACTTAAACATCTGGTAAACATGTGCTATCATCCTGTTACTAGGCACTCTTTAACTTATTTAACACATCGCCCCCATAGCCCTCACCACAGGCAAAACCAACATTTTGGGATAGGAATTAACATCATTATTTACTTCTTACAAAGGGGATAACAGCTTAACACATATTAAACACAGAGACAAGGTGGGAGACAGGTTTCCTTCTTGTAAGCTGCATCCATGAACAGAAACAAAGGAGGAAAATCTTGCATAAATGGTTGACTATCTGACAGTGTGCTCGAGTACTCCCTTAAGAGAATTCTTAGACTTAAATGGCTTCACCCCCCTGTAGTTTGATACTGTTCCAGTTGGACATTTATAAAGCATATAATAGAAATCCTGCTGTTATAATGGAGTTCAGTAAATTTGTCAAGCCTTTTCTGGTCAAGTCTCTTCAGGTTTCATTGCAGGCATTCAGATCACCAAACTATTATCAGCATTCAGCTTCTGAAAAATGGACTCAGCAAACTGCAGCTTTGATGAACCCTGCTCAGAATGGAGAACAAGGTGGGAAACCACTTGTTCAAGGTAACATATCAGGAGTCCTGACTTCTCAGACAGGGGCACGAGCGGGGCCAGAGAGAGGCAGAAAGAAAAGGACAGACAAATATTGAAGCAGAAAGTCTTGGAATTTTTCTCAATTTTTTTTATTACTGAGATTGAAAAAAATAGTCTTGTTTGGCTAAAGGTGAGCTATTAATGGAGAAGAAAAAGCAGATATAAAGATCTATAAATGAAAATAATGGAAAGTACTTCTTAACAGTGTTGGTTGCTGTATTATGACTTTCTAGACTAAATTTGGATGAGACAGTTGTATTACATTCTATCATGGCACCAATTTCTGCAATGAACTGTCAGAATAAATAGCTCTGCTCCTACAAGTTACTTTTTCCCCCCTTCTAAACCCCAAAACATGACTGGGAAATAAAGGATATGGAGTACTTGTCCCTTTTTTCAAATGGTTTCCTCTTCTTTCCCTACAAATGAACTCAGAGTTTAAAATACACTCATAGTATGGAAACATAAATAATACACATAGAACATTTCTGTGGATGAGCTATGACTTCTAGAATGAACCAGGCAACAATTCCAGCATCTGTAATTGGGTGGTGAAATGTGCAGCCTGGAGTAAAGCTGTCAAAGTTATAGGGTCACTGACCTTGTTTTGACAGATATTCCTCTAATCCTCTGCACAAACCTTATGAATAAGTAAATAACAAAATAAAAGATATGAGGGCCTAGCACTGTTATGGAAAGCAATTCTAAGATAAGGTCAAATGAGGTCACTGGCACATGGTGAAAAAAGACTACCATGGGACTAATGTAATTCTTTCCTTAACCAGAGATCTGTTCTCCTGAGAATAGAGGGGTGGCAAAGTTTTTCTGTAAAAGGCCAGATATTAACTATCTAGACTTTGTGAGACTTAGTATCTGATGCAGCTACTCACCTTGATCACTGCAGTGTGAAAGCTGTCATAGACAGTATATCACCAAATGAGTGTTCCAATAAAACTTGACTTACAAAAATAGGTAATGGGCCATATATATTCATAGGCCATAGTTTGCCAAGCCTTGCACTAGGTGGAATTAAGCTGAGTGACAGTATCAGCCTTATGGAAACTGATGTTTCTGTCTCATCACTGGACCCTCTCAGGACTCAGTCCTGAATCCTCTTCTATCATTTATAACACAGGCTCATAGTTTTAAATAATTTTATGCTAATAAGTCTGAAATTTATATTTATAATAGAGACTTCTGGCGAAACTAATATTCATTTGTCCTACTGTCTAGAAGGCCTTTCCATTTGGCTGTTTTTTAGGTATCTCCTACCTGACACGTTCAACACTGAATTCAAATCTCTATACATTCACTCTATTGTCAGTTTTCTCCATCTCACCATGAAATTATCTCTTTCTTCAGGTGAAACACTTAAGTTCATCCTTGACATGTTATTCTCTCTTATACATCCATCTAATCAATCAGGAAAAACGAATCATTGTCTCTTATCTGCAAAATACAGCTATTCTATATTGTTGTTGTCAAATAGGAACTGATCCATAGCTGACCCTCCAATGGGTTTTCATAGGCATTAAATCACACAGGAGAAGACTGCCCATCCTTCTCCTGAGAAGCAGCTGGTGGATTCAAACCACATGCCTTCAGAATGGCAGCACAGCTGCACTAGATACTCCATATATTTGAGAAGCTAGACTATATAAATAAGAACGTGGCATCAGGATTGGAGGAAGACTCATCAATCAACCTGCATTAAGCAGATGGCACCACCTTGTTTACAGAAAGTAAAGAGGCCTTAAAACAAGACTAAAGATTACAGCTTTCAAAATGGATTACATCTTAACATCATGAAAACAAAAATCCTCATCATTGGGCCAATAAGCTATATGACAGAAAAAAACCCTGAAGTTGTTAATTATTTCATTTTACTTGAATCTGCAAATAATTTCCATACTAACAGCAGTCAAGAAACCAGAAGACATGTTGCACTGGGAAAATCTCTCAGGGACCCCTTCAAAGTGCTAAAGAGCTAGGATATCAGTTTGAAGATTAAGGTGCTCCTGATGCAAGGCATGGTATTTTCAACTGCTTCCTACGCATCTGAAAGTTGGACAATGAATAAGGATGACAGAAGAATTGATGCCTTTGATGTGTGGTACTAGAGAAGAGAACTAAATATCCCATAAACTTCCAAAAGAACAAATAAGTCTGTTTTGGAAGAAGTGAATGAACCAGCATGCTCTTTAGAAGCATACTTTGGGCATCTTGTCAGGGGTTAGTCCTTGGAAAAATACATCAAGCTGAGAAAGGTATAGTGTCAGAGAAAAAAAGGAAGACCCTCAGCAAGATGGACTGACACAGTGACTGTTAACAATAGGCTTTTGAGTGTATCAGATGGTGAAGATAGTGCAGGATAGGACAATGTTCAGAACTGTCGTTCACAGGTCGCTATGAGTCACAGTCAACTTGATGGCACATAATAACAACAATACTGAAAATGTAATCACTTTTCTTTACCTCTTGCATGGATTAATAAATAGTCTCTAACTTTGGTCTCTTTCCTGCCAATTATGACCCTGAGCATCTGGTCCCCGTATTCGAGCCAGAAGAATAATTCACAAATATAAATCAGATCACATCCCTCCTTTGCCCAAACCCTCCAATGGCTATCTATTTAATGACTAACAATTCTCTATGTAATCAGGATCTTGGTCACTTATAGTCTTATGGCTTATTGCTTTCACTCACTTAAGGCCTTCAAGTTGGAAATGACTCAGAGCTGGCCCTCCAGTGAGTTTTCAGAGGCTCTAAACCACTTTCCATCTTTCACCCGTGGACTCGGTACTCTAGTCTTCCCTTTTTCTACTCTAGTCACACTGGCTAGTCACTGTATACCCACACTCTTGTCTACCTTCGGGTCTTAATACTGCTGATTCCCTCTGCTTGGATTCTTACACATAAAATATAAGCCAAAAAACTAAAATACAAATTTAAAAGAAAAACACAACGCACTCACTGCTGTTGAGCTGGAATTGACTCGCAGCTGACCCTCCAGTGGGTTTTCAGAAGCTGCAAACTGCATGAGAGGTTGAGCATCTTTCTCCTACAACCTCCCACATGTTGTTATGTGCCAGTAAGTTGGAACCAACTCATAGCTGCTCCTCCAGCAGGTTTTCAAAGGCTGTAAACTGTACAGGAGGAGACTACCTTTCTGCCTCAGAGCAGATGGTGGATTCAAACCATTTGCCTTTGGATCAGCAGCACACTTTCTTGACACTACA